CCGGCAATGGAATCCCCAGAGCCTTGAGAACCTGAGTTAGACAACTCAGTTAGACAGCTCAGTTAGACAACTCAGTTATACAAATCACTTAGACAACGCAGTTAGTCAACTCACCTAGACAACTCACTTAGACAACTCAGTTAGACAACTCAGTTAGACAGCTCACTTAGACAACTCAGTTAGACAACTCACTTAGACAACTCAGTTAGACAACTCAGTTAGACAACTCACTTAGACAACTCAGTTAGACAACTCACTTAGACAACTCACTTAGACAGCTCACTTAGACAACTCAGTTAGACAACTCAGTTAGACAACTCACTTAGACAACTCAGTTAAACAACTCAGTTAGACAACTCCCTTAGACAACTCACTTAGACAACTCAGTTAGACAACGGGGTTTGTAATAGGTGATGGTGAACTCTAGCTAGTAGTAGTAGTAGTCATGGTGAACTCTAGCTAGTAGTAGTAGTAGTCATGGTGAACTCTAGCTAGTAGTAGTAGTAGTAGTCATGGTGAACTCTAGCTAGTAGTAGTAGTAGTCATGGTGAACTCTAGCTAGTAGTAGTAGTAGTCATGGTGAACTCTAGCTAGTAGTAGTAGTAGTCATGGTGAACTCTAGCTAGTAGTAGTAGTCATGGTGAACTCTAGCTAGTAGTAGTAGTAGTCATGGTGAACTCTAGCTAGTAGTAGTAGTCATGGTGAACTCTAGCTAGTAGTAGTAGTAGTCATGGTGAACTCTAGCTAGTAGTAGTAGTAGTCATGGTGAACTCTAGCTAGTAGTAGTAGTAGTCATGGTGAACTCTAGCTAGTAGTAGTAGTAGTCATGGTGAACTCTAGCTAGTAGTAGTAGTAGTCATGGTGAACTCTAGCTAGTAGTAGTAGTAGTCATGGTGAACTCTAGCTAGTAGTAGTAGTAGTCATGGTGAACTCTAGCTAGTAGTAGTAGTAGTCATGGTGAACTCTAGCTAGTAGTAGTAGTAGTCATGGTGAACTCTAGCTAGTAGTAGTAGTAGTCATGGTGAACTCTAGCTAGTAGTAGTAGTAGTCATGGTGAACTCTAGCTAGTAGTAGTAGTAGTCATGGTGAACTCTAGCTAGTAGTAGTAGTAGTCATGGTGAACTCTAGCTAGTAGTAGTAGTAGTCATGGTGAACTCTAGCTAGTAGTAGTAGTAGTCATGGTGAACTCTAGCTAGTAGTAGTAGTAGTCATGGTGAACTCTAGCTAGTAGTAGTAGTAGTCATGGTGAACTCTAGCTAGTAGTAGTAGTAGTCATGGTGAACTCTAGCTAGTAGTAGTAGTAGTCATGGTGAACTCTAGCTAGTAGTAGTAGTCATGGTGAACTCTAGCTAGTAGTAGTAGTAGTCATGGTGAACTCTAGCTAGTAGTAGTAGTCATGGTGAACTCTAGCTAGTAGTAGTAGTCATGGTGAACTCTAGCTAGTAGTAGTAGTAGTCATGGTGAACTCTAGCTAGTAGTAGTAGTAGTCATGGTGAACTCTAGCTAGTAGTAGTAGTAGTCATGGTGAACTCTAGCTAGTAGTAGTAGTAGTCATGGTGAACTCTAGCTAGTAGTAGTAGTAGTCATGGTGAACTCTAGCTAGTAGTAGTAGTAGTCATGGTGAACTCTAGCTAGTAGTAGTAGTAGTCATGGTGAACTCTAGCTAGTAGTAGTAGTAGTCATGGTGAACTCTAGCTAGTAGTAGTAGTCATGGTGAACTCTAGCTAGTAGTAGTAGTAGTCATGGTGAACTCTAGCTAGTAGTAGTAGTAGTCATGGTGAACTCTAGCTAGTAGTAGTAGTAGTCATGGTGAACTCTAGCTAGTAGTAGTAGTAGTCATGGTGAACTCTAGCTAGTAGTAGTAGTAGTCATGGTGAACTCTAGCTAGTAGTAGTAGTAGTCATGGTGAACTCTAGCTAGTAGTAGTAGTAGTCATGGTGAACTCTAGCTAGTAGTAGTAGTAGTCATGGTGAACTCTAGCTAGTAGTTAGTAGTAGTCATGTGTGAACTCTAGCAGTAGTAGTAGTAGTCCGTAGTAGTCATGGTGAACTCTAGCTAGTAGTAGTAGTAGTCATGGTGAACTCTAGCTAGAGTAGTAGTAGTAGTCATGGTGAACTCTAGTAGTAGTAGTAGTAGTCATGGTGAACTCTAGCTAGTAGTAGTAGTAGTCATGGTGAAACTCTAGCTAGTAGTAGTAGTAGTCATGGTGAACTCTAGTAGTAGTAGTAGTATAGTCATGGTGAACTCTAGCTAGTAGTAGTAGTAGTCATGGTGAACTCTAGCTAGTAGTAGTAGTAGTCCTGGTGAATCTAGCTAGTAGTAGTAGTAGTCATGGTGAACTCTAGCTAGTAGTAGTAGTAGTCATGGTGAACTCTAGCTAGTAGTAGTAGTAGTCATGGTGAACTCTCAGCTAGTAGTAGTAGTAGTCATGGTGAACTCTAGCTAGTAGTAGTAGTAGTCATGGTGAACTCTAGCTAGTAGTAGTAGTAGTCATGGTGAACTCTAGCTAGTAGTAGTAGTAGTCATGGTGAACTCTAGCTAGTAGTAGTAGTAGTCATGGTGAACTCTAGCTAGTAGTAGTAGTAGTCATGGTGAACTCTAGCTAGTAGTAGTAGTAGTCATGGTGAACTCTAGCTAGTAGTAGTAGTAGTCATGGTGAACTCTAGCTAGTAGTAGTAGTAGTCATGGTGAACTCTAGCTAGTAGTAGTAGTAGTCATGGTGAACTCTAGCTAGTAGTAGTAGTAGTCATGGTGAACTCTAGCTAGTAGTAGTAGTAGTCATGGTGAACTCTAGCTAGTAGTAGTAGTAGTCATGGTGAACTCTAGCTAGTAGTAGTAGTAGTCATGGTGAACTCTAGCTAGTAGTAGTAGTAGTCATGGTGAACTCTAGCTAGTAGTAGTAGTAGTCATGGTGAACTCTAGCTAGTAGTAGTAGTAGTCATGGTGAACTCTAGCTAGTAGTAGTAGTAGTCATGGTGAACTCTAGCTAGTAGTAGTAGTAGTCATGGTGAACTCTAGCTAGTAGTAGTAGTAGTCATGGTGAACTCTAGCTAGTAGTAGTAGTAGTCATGGTGAACTCTAGCTAGTAGTAGTAGTAGTCATGGTGAACTCTAGCTAGTAGTAGTAGTCATGGTGAACTCTAGCTAGTAGTAGTAGTAGTCATGGTGAACTCTAGCTAGTAGTAGTAGTAGTAGTCATGGTGAACTCTAGCTAGTAGTAGTAGTAGTCATGGTGAACTCTAGCTAGTAGTAGTAGTAGTCATGGTGAACTCTAGCTAGTAGTAGTAGTAGTCATGGTGAACTCTAGCTAGTAGTAGTAGTAGTCATGGTGAACTCTAGCTAGTAGTAGTAGTAGTCATGGTGAACTCTAGCTAGTAGTAGTAGTAGTCATGGTGAACTCTAGCTAGTAGTAGTAGTAGAGTCATGGTGAACTCTAGCTAGTAGTAGTAGTAGTCATGGTGAACACTAGCTAGTAGTAGTAGTAGTCATGTGTGAACTCTAGCTAGTAGTAGTAGTAGTCCTGGTGAACTCTAGCTAGTAGTAGTCGTAGTCATGGTGAACTCTAGCTAGTAGTAGTAGTAGTCATGGTGAACTCTAGCTAGTAGTAGTAGTAGTCATGGTGAACTCTAGCTAGTAGTAGTAGTAGTCATGGTGAACTCTAGCTAGTAGTAGTAGTAGTCATGGTGAACTCTAGGCTAGTAGTAGTAGTAGTCATGGTGAACTATAGCTAGTATAGTAGTAGTCATGGTGAACTCTAGCTAGTAGTAGTAGTAGTCATGGTGAACTCTAGCTAGTAGTAGTAGTAGTCATGGTGAACTCTAGCTAGTAGTAGTAGTAGTCCATGGTGAACTCTAGCTAGTAGTAGTAGTAGTCATGGTGAACTCTAGCTAGTAGTAGTAGTAGTCATGGTGAACTCTAGCTAGTAGTAGTAGTAGTCATGGTGAACTCTAGCTAGTAGTAGTAGTAGTCATGGTGAACTCTAGCTAGTAGTAGTAGTAGTCATGGTGAACTCTAGCTAGTAGTAGTAGTATTCATGGTGAACTCTAGCTAGTAGTAGTAGTAGTCATTGGTGAACTCTAGCTAGTAGTAGTAGTAGTCATGGTGAACTCTAGTCTAGTAGTAGTAGTAGTCATGGTGAACTCTAGCTAGTAGTAGTAGTAGTCATGGTGAACTCCTAGCTAGTAGTCAGGTAGTAGTCATGGTGAACTCTAGCTAGTAGTAGTAGTAGTCATGGTGAACTCTAGCTAGTAGTAGTAGTAGTCATGGTGAACTCTAGCTAGTAGTAGTAGTAGTCATGGTGAACTCTAGCTAGTAGTAGTAGTAGTCATGGTGAACTCTAGCTAGTAGTAGTAGTCATGGTGAACTCTAGCTAGTAGTAGTAGTAGTCATGGTGAACTCTAGCTAGTAGTAGTAGTAGTCATGTTGAACTCTAGCTAGTAGTAGTAGTAGTCATGGTGAACTCTAGCTAGTAGTAGTAGTAGTCATGGTGAACTCTAGCTAGTAGTAGTAGTAGTCATGGTGAACTCTAGCTAGTAGTAGTAGTAGTCATGGTGAACTCTAGCTAGTAGTAGTAGTAGTCATGGTGAACTCTAGCTAGTAGTAGTAGTAGTAGTCATGGTGAACTCTAGCTAGTAGTAGTAGTAGTCATGGTGAACTCTGGCTAGTAGTAGTAGTAGTCATGGTGAACTCTAGCTAGTAGTAGTAGTCATGGTGAACTCCAGCTAGCTAGTAGTAGTAGTCATGGTGAACTCTAGCTAGTAGTAGTAGTAGTCATGGTGAACTCCAGCTAGCTAGTAGTAGTAGTCATGGTGAACTCTAGCTAGTAGTAGTAGTAGTCATGGTGAACTCTAGGTAGTAGTAGTATTAAGTCATTGGTGAACTCTAGCTAGTAGTATGTAGTAGTCATGGTGAACTCTAGCTAGTAGTAGTAGTAGTCATGGTGAACTCAGTAGGCTAGTAGTAGTAGTAGTCAATGGGTGAACTCTAGCTAGTAGTAGT